TGAAGATATGGTCGATGCAACCTCTTGCAGGACGGAACCCAGCTTGGTTTTCACGGATCGGCCTCTCCCTGTGTTCCGTCAACCTTCGAAGGATAAGGCCAGAGTGCACCTTCGATGCCACAGCTAACAGGCTGATGCCACGGTGGTTTTCGCATAGCGTCCGTGTACCCTTTTTGAAGATAGGGATAACTGTCGACATGCCCCATTCTGCAGGCACTCGCTCTTCGTCCCACATAGTACCAATAAGTTTTGTCAAGTGGGTCACCAGGGAATTTCCGCCTTCTTTGAAGAGGGCTGGATACAGACCGTCCGGTCCTGGTGCCTTCTCACGTTTCAGTGCGGCTACTTCGTACCTTATTTCTTCTTCCGAAGGGCGATCAAGGTTTACATTCCATTCGCCCGTATACACTATCTCCACAGGCTGTGTTGCAGGAGGCCAGCTGAACTGCTCTTCGAAGTGTTCGGCCCATCTCTCCAGTCGACGTTTTTGCGAGTGAATTACTGAGCCATCTTTTTCACTTATCGTTTCGCTGACCGTCGCTTTCCTAGTCATCTATGTTCTTTTAGGAAAGTAAGTAGTCTAAGAGAAGCACCCATGTTTATTACTCGCATCATGCGGAGGATAACACAGATCCTGCGCATGAAAACATATTTAGTGGATGATAGTGAGCAGTAGGCTTTGCCAATTCCGTATGGCAACGAAGAGGTATACACAAACTTGTAAAATAAAGCCATCAATATTATCAGTGAGAGAAACACTAGTGTTGGTACTGACGCTTTTCTGCCGTAAAACCAAGTTTATTCATTTGCACTCAAATTATCAAGAATGAAGAGTGTATATAGAAGGGACTTGATGCTTACCCACCGCAAGCCCACTAAGAAAATTTGGGATGAAACTGACAATCGCGACATTTCAAGCAGCGTCTCCAGTCAGGTGCAAAGAGGGACACTTGACCCCTATGGTACAAGGTGGTAACCACGACAAACATCCAAACCCCTGATGATATCTTCCAACCCCTTTCACCAAATCACCGGTCTTCAACCCTGCAGTTTGTCATTCTGGAGTAGATAAATATAACAATACTTTTCTCGGGAGATAATGATTCCGCACACGTAGCACATGATTGGGTCGCCGCAGGTTTTGTGCCACTACTGCAGAACCAGACGCTCATTTTCGAATTATCCCGACGCCACCCAATAACAGCAACACTTCCGATACATTGGTGGTAAACAAACTGAAGACACTTGCGATCATCTGCCCAAGGAGGTCAGGTATCTCGACAATACCGCAACGCTGCCTTTACTGTAGTCTGAAGCGACCCCTGAGACCCAATGATGTGTCTTTTTGGAACAACTAAGGCTAAATGGCAGACGTGATTCAGACCCTCGAAGTTCGTGAACTAACTTTATCGGGCACGATTCTATCAGAGCTGACAGAACTACTGAGGTACGTACAAGTCTCCACAACCTCTCGTGATTCCCCTTGGAGTGCAAGGGTCCTGTTCAGAAGCCGAATACTCTGAAGCAGAGGTCTGCACTTTGTATGTACAGGACGAACTTTAAAAGAAGGCATTATTGTGGTCAGTTTGTTTAAAATTGTTTGTCCTTGTAAATCAAAGTGCTGGTGAGTGCGCTGCACACAGACCGCCTCGTGTTTCAGTTGAACGTGTCGACAAGGCCCACGGGGTTACGTCCATTGCAAAAGTGGTGGGAAGACTAAAGGCTGGGTGTAATGAAACAGTAAATTACGTCGTCCAAACTATTAAAGCCTGTTAAAACCCATTCACTATTTCCCATCGCCAAAGTATGCAGATGAAACTGAAGATGATCAGTGAAAATCTGAGGACATGTATATTTGTGCATATCACCAATCGTAGCACTGACGTATTAGTTCCTCATGAACGAGTTCCATTGGGGTCTGGTCCATGTCTTCATGGTAAGAGCGTGAATTTCGGGAATTTCTTCTGACAGGGCACTATTTACCATCCTAGTTCATTCGTTTCGCAAAGTCATATTAGTCAAGCTGAAATAGACAACTCACCGGTGACGTTCCAAAAGTGACTTCCCATCAAATACATCAGATACAATAAATACATCGAACTTTTTCCCGCATCCATCGGAGAAGTCTTTCACTTCCTATAATATGAATTATTGGGTCTGAATGAAAATCAACCTACAAGGTGAATAGGGCTGAGAGCTTGTAGCTTTTGTTCGATAGCAGCTTGCATACTGATGACACAAGCGCACGCAGAAAAACAAGAACCAAAATAAATGGGTATCTGGCTAAAAGCGACAAGATAATGAAATGCTTTTCTTCGGAATGGCCAGGAACACTGGAGCAACGCTGAAAACTCACCACCAGCGAAGCCACTGTGAGAACATGGAAGTAGAATGCCCTACAATTGTCAAGGGAGCAGGATGGGCCATGTGGTTAGAGCACGAATTTACTGACCGGAAGGTACATGGTTCGAACCCGACCTCTGCCTCTCGACTTCCCCTGTCTAGGCTTGGGCAACCTGGCAGTATCTCAGCCCTCGTGCCTCGTTCGTGTGGCATGGCAGCTAGGCACCGAAAGGGTGCTACAGCTGAATGATTTATTTTATTTTATTTTATTACAATTGTCATCATCAGCGACAGCATGGCAGTGTTCAGCACTGATGCTTCGCTGCCGTGCAACAATGATTTATTTGGTTGATATATTCATGCCGACATGTCCACACCTCCAGACACTCATTCAGGTAATCTGGATAGAAACTGACAACGGGAGCGCCACTGATATCGAATAGTAGTCATGTATTGCTGGGGATCACACCAGCGCCTTATAAGGTGAATTGGTCTCATCTGTCACACCGAAATCAGAACTTTCACACCAACGTACGAAAACGCTTCATAACTTTGACCACCTTGGGTTGTAAGAGCCATGTCGGATGACCGCAAATTCGGGAGCATAACCTGTTTGTGATGCAAAGCGCATGCCGAAAGACGGTATGACCCTAGTGAGCTCATCCGGGAACACTGGTGCCTCCTATTCAAAAAATCATAACAATGTCACCTGTATATTCAAGATCTACAGGGTTTTTGTCAACAACTATATCAACACCGAGGTTTGGAAGACTGTGTTCACTTCATTAGCTTGTCAACCAAAAAACTGAATAGGAATGGAAACAGCGGGAACCCACCTTGCGTAGAATTTTTGGAGGGCTTTATATATACTCCAACGTGCCACGAAGCCGTAAAATACTAATAACCTATTACATCCACAAACTTCCGGGACGTGATGTAGCGTTCTGTGTACGACTATGTAACATCTATGTCAGTCCTCGGCTTACTGTTCTGCCCGATACGGTACATCAGAAAGACACGGAAGCTTAAGACAGTCATATATGGAGACCAAAGAAAACAATCGCGACTGTGTTTATTGGGTTATCGCGAAACGTTCTACACGAGCGTGCCAGAATCTTCGCCAGCGGGGCGAGAGACACCGAGCCGCGAGTGCTCGACCCTGATTCGCTAACCATCTGACCAATCAGGGCATGAGTTCGTCTAGCTGTGGCCCACACCTGGCATCCGTTCAATGGCTTCGAGTGATCAGTCACTTAAGGCGAATGATCTCTGCAACATTCCTTGCTGAGCAATCCTTTCAGGTGAACGACAGCGGCTGAACGACAAGAACAAAACCGACCAGAGAAACTTGGGTAAAAGCCTCGATCCTGTGTATCAATCCGTGAGTCTGTGGATCCATGAGATCGTGCTACGGAGAAGAGGTAGGTCAACCGGGCCAAATGCGTCTTGGACGTCCAGGAATGCTAGAGTGGTAGATCCTTCATACGCACGAGATTCATGGATTGACACATGGATCAACGCTTTTGCCGAAGCTTCAAATGTCGAGTTTTCTGATCCTTCAACGGCGGTTTGAATCCACGGATTCTGGCACGGAACCTAGTTTGAAGATTGAGTCGGTGTAACTCCTTCCTCATTGGAATATCGCTTGCCGCTCTCGAATGAATAATTCACGGACTACCACAAGGCGACATGGGCAAGTGACACCAAGATAGTAACGATTGCAGTCCTGTGATTAGAAGACTCACAACGGGTCCCTTTTGGATAATGGGCGCCATCAGTGATTCTCCCCCAGCTCTCCAAAAAGGTCTCCCTTCCCAGATGTCAACTATTTACTCGGCCAAATGTTGACTGAAAACTTCATTCCCCCCTGAAGAATGCCAGTATTTATACCCTCCAGGTGTGTTGCTGTCCCGTCATCCAAAAGAAGAATGAAGGCTAGGATTCCGCCAAGTTGCTCAGGTCTAGAGAGCTGAAACCCAGATTCCAGAGTTGTGCTGCGGAATTCACAAAATTGTTTCAAAACGGGCGACAGTGAGTTATTGATCCACGCTACCAGTAACAGACAGCTATGTGACTTGCGAACTGTTGGAGGACAACGCCATCCTCAGTGACAGCCATACCAAAATGGAAAAGCGATTTTTCACTGCCATGAAACTTTTGAGTTTATACGAAAAAGCATTATGATAGAAGAAGAAAGGTATGGGTCAGGGAGAGAAACCCTGGCCTATTTACCACTAATATTCAAGGTGCTTAAATCTCCAACACTCAGCCAATCTAAGCAGAATATCACTGTAGGAAAGTCAGTGATATCCGTTAGTCGCCATGCCGTTGTTCTCTCCAGCCCAACGACAGGTTGAGGGTCACCTGGACCTCATCCTGGAATCTGAACGGCACCAAGTGTGGCAATCTCCACCCTTTTCTGAAATGCCAACATCTCTCTACCCATGAGCTTCCGCCATTACCAATTACGCATCATATGCGGTGCTCATTTCGGCAGACAGCTTGCAGTTCTGGATACACAGTTTGAGGGAAGTACCTCATGCTCCACTAGAAGCCCGTCTTCAGATCACAAGGTTGCTGAATGGCTGCTTTCAGCCTATTTGAGGATACAGACCTGAAAATGTCTGTGCTCTTCGCCCGAAGTGGCCGGGTGTAGCATCTGCCTAAAACAAGGCATCACGCAGCGAGAGCAACGTGGTATATTTTTGGATGACTTTGGAAGACAATGAATTTTACATCATAGAGACAGCGCAACTCTCCAACAGGAGGGATGGCGGTTTTTTCTGGAAACTTATCAAAAACGGTTGAGAACACGCCGAAACTTAGCCGCACACCTAAGATTCACCTGAAACCATATTTTGAAGGAGGGCGACCTTAACGTAAAGTTTTAACATCTGATAGTAATTATTCGAACACTAGATCTTTCAGCGAGGCCGCAGCTTTGTTGAAGTTGTTTAAACGCATTCAAGGCCCACTGTGGGCGCAGGGTTCAGATTTTTAATAGCTACTACGGCTGAGTACATTTCGGCCGTGAAGGCGGTAGATGGTTTTGCAGAGAAGTTAGGTCATCCACGTTTCTTTTCAGTGTATTCCAAATCGCTTTGAAAGCATACATGATCAATAATTTCATAGCTTTTGTCTGCATCAATCAACNCTGAAAAGAGCGTCGATTCGCTACTTTTGTATGAAAAAGCCTTCCACCGATGCACCAGATATCCTTACTGCGGAATTCGTCGCGGCTCGTATGTTTATCGTTGTTTGTCTGCAGCCGGCTGCCTGACAGTAAACCATGCTCGCCGGTGAAAGACTACGTGGCGGTTACTTCCTAACGCCTTGAGCACAATCACCCACTTTGCAAGTTTACTTTTGACAGGCTTCCCTATAATCGACGCCTGACAAATGATGAATCAAGGGAGTATATTACCGTTTTGAAATATGATGCTTCGACGTCGGGGATTCGTGAATACCTCGTCGATCACTTTGGAAAATAACTTAATATCCAGCATGGTAATAACTATAGCGTCAAGGGCTAACTCTCATTGTTGATAAGCCGGTGGCTATGCTGTTTAGATTCCTTAGATGACCTGTGGTCGATTACAGCCACGCTTCGAGAATTTATTCGTGTACAGTTAGTGGAATCTGAGGGTGGCGGTTTTAGCCGCCTGTGCTTTCCCAGCACATAGCGGATTGCACTCTTTCGATATTGTAAACGTTGATGCTAGGCTTGGGGCCAACCGTCTTGGGAAGACAATTTTAGAGCCTCTGACGTTCACTATGAGGGCACAAGATGCAATCGGCATCGTGTAATGAGTTATGTATGCCTTCGTAGAAACCGAGCGCTTTACGCTTTTGCGCAAGTTGTTCTGCTTGCTCAAAAATATAATGTGTGGGCAATAATCAACCAAGGCATTTGTTTTGGGCAAGTTGTCATCCCAGATGCGAGCTGCCAAGGCTGCGACGGTAGCCTGCAATATTTCCACGCACGACAAGCTATCAACAAGCTCCTACATTTCTATGGTATCGGAACAAAGCGTTGTATCTGAGGGACGTACTACCTGTGAGAGGAACGTATACCTGTGAAGAGTCTGAAGTTTCCATTACGAGAAGATCCGAAAGATTGCGGACAAGACCACCGGTGGACTATAAACACCCAAACGCTCATTCAAGGTGTGGCGGATGTGATGAACATGACTGATACTTTGTTGATTGCTCTATTCATTATTCTCTTGTTTTAATATTCTATATGCTGTACATATACGCCAATTCGAATACATACGTGCTACTTGTCGCACTGATCTGAGTTCTGGATTTCTAGTCCGTCTGGTTATTCCGATATATGTCCGAAACTTAATTCTCACATTTTGGCGCCGCGATTGGAACAATTCATCATGCCGAAACGGAACCATTAGATGTTAATTCAACTGCGCGTGACGTAGAGGATTATGTGGAACGATTTGACATATGGTGTCTCACAAAATCCGATATGGATGATAAGAAACTCACGACAAATTTCCTACATTTCGTTGGCAAGGAGGGGTATATGTTAATCAAAATTTGGTATATACTGAATCTCCAATCGATATTTCCTACACTGCATTGAAGAAGAACGTTCTTCAACACTTCAAGCCGATGAACTTCGTAGCAGCCGAAAGAGCTAGGTTCAATATGTTGACCCGCTCTCATTATCAGTCGGTTCGTGATTTCGTATTGCAGCTGCAGACACAGGCAGCCAAATGTGACTACGGTG